TGGAGAGGTGGATTGGCACATGATCCCCATGACCCATTCTAGCCCACTGTATCCGCAGACAAATTTGGCCCAACAGCTTTTTGGCACGTAGGTGGGCAACCGAGCCAACGGTCTCAGCCTCTCAGTTATTTTACCGTCTTTTTGTAGCTGCTTGTTGTGGCTGAGTATTTTTCGGTGAAGGCAGACCAGTTGGCAGAGTTGCCTCAATGGAGAAGAAAACGAGGGGGAGGAGGTGCCAAGCGGGGCGAGAAAACTCAGAGGGGGAGGAGGACTGCTGGGAGCCGAAAGCCTTTGTGATGAGTTATCATGAAATCGTAATGAGAGACGGTTGGCCTTGGGATTGTGCCACGTGTTACTTTACTGTTTACAGTCAAACCTGAATAAGAATAACTCTTCTTATGTCCTAAGTACTAACTTTTACAACCGGAACTTTAAAGAGTTCTCAAATATTCATTAAATGCTTCCAGATCAAACCTATTAAAAGTTCAAAATCCAAAAAACAGAATCTATCTATAACTCCAATTTGTACTTTACATTACTTCAAAATTCATCTTTATACAAGTCATTGTTGCTTTAGTTCGAGTCAGTGGGTGTTGCATTTGGTTGAGATTCCCAGTATTTCGTGAATATTTGAATTGGTGAAGAGAAAATGCAGTGAAAAACATTTGAGAAAACCGGCGGGGCCCAAAAACATTTTCAAAGCCGACTCGTCGCAGGCCAAAAACTAATAAACCAAACAAAAAGCGGCAACAACGAATTCGTTAAAAACAGCAAATGAGGCAAACAACTCTCCGAATCGGAGAAAAGCCAGTTGGGAAAAGCCAGTGGAAATGCAGGCGGCTCGACGCGAAGTGGTTTTTTATGGCGCATGCGCAGCAGCTCGAGTTCAATCTCTATAAAAGGGTCGGCTGCCAACAGAGCGGAGCTTTGTATCCGCCTGACCATAAAAACATACGAAATAAGGCAGAAGACAGAAAATAAAGCAGACGAGTTCGAGTTCCCTCTCATCGCGCGATCTCCCGATTTCCCAGTCTCCAGAGAGAGATGCATCGTTCATTGACTCCCTCGAAGAGAACCCACGATCACCGCGGTGGTTCGGAACTCTGCTAGATCTAATTGAATTAAATTCCGTCAACGGAAATGCTTAGTTTACGATACATAAGCTGCAGTTTAAAGCAATGAGTCCACATAGACGTCTATGTGCAGATGCGGTCAAAATAATAGTTGTAAAAATGATAAATAAATGTAGTCCTCATTTGGTATTTATTTTAAAATACAGCAACCACTCTTCGAAAGTTTTCTGCGTATTAACTGCATAGAATCATAGTTTAAGATTAGTTAGTTAGTTTTTAAATATTTGTACCACTAGTAATTTGACCTTAACTGTATAAGAGTGTACATTTCGCATTCTATCCTATATAGTTGGTGCCCCAGTTGGCCCCATCTTAATTGTTTTAATTCCGAGAAATGCATACAAAGTGGCATTTAATTAAAATGAATTTTACATCGCCAGTTGAAGTTGAATCCGTATCTGCCCGCGATGCATTATGCATTTCCGTGACTCCCAGGGACTTAATAAAGTTTTCATCGTTGTCCTGAACCTGAACAGGAATCAGAAAAAAAGGAGACAGCTTCTGGCTCGGCGAAAGAGACAGCATCAAGGGCTGACAAAGACCGCATAATTGCCCGGACTTGATTGAATTTCAAGGTTAATTAGTGGCAAAGAGGGAGAAAAACTTTATTGTACCCAAGGATTGGTAGGAACTTCTTGGTAAACTTTGCTCGGGCAGCTTAAGCTGATTACCGACGGTTTGTTGTCGGCTGCTTTCTGGAGATTTGCTGTTGGCCGGAACACAAAAAGGGATTAGACGGAGTGGCCATTAGGCGATGGAACATCAAGAGCTCTAATCGACATGGAACATGGTGTAATCTTAAGAGATTCTTAAGGAGGAAACCGAAAAAATTAATAACAAATCAGAAGTTGGAAAACTTTTAGAACAAACGCTTAAATTCTATAAAGGAATTTTACTGGCAAATCACTTATATATAAAAGGCACTTACATTTGGCCGTAGTTTTGCCGTTACGATGTTAAATATTTCTTGAATGTATAATTATGGTACATCCTCTTTCTGTCTTCCACATGAAACTTCCTTCCCCTTTTTTGCAAACCTGCCCCAGTTCCGTTTGCTCCCCAACCCAAACTTCCTGCCCCATTTCTAATCGCAACCATATCAAATAGCCTATAGATATCCCCCCAAACACATACCGATAAAGAATATATATGCTACAGTTTCCTCTATACACAGCTGCTTTTTGTGCATTTGCATGGCCTATAAACCCAACCCCAGTCCACGTGATAAGATAAGCCAGCCAGCCCAACAATTTCCACCGAAATGTGAAAATCATTTACGGATTGTGGCCAGATTGTGAAATTGATTTTGAATTTGGATATGCTCAAAATATCCCCATGATTCACTTACTATTTCCAGAACATTAAGAAAAATCGTTAAAAGACTTAAAAAAATAATTTTCGCATCTTGCCTAAATTGAGAAATTGGTTTTATTGAGAACGCTTTGGGAAATGCAATAAAAGTCGGTTGCTCATAAATGTTTCCATTCAAAATATTTCCCTGAGGTCGAAGAATTCATTTACCATTTCGAGATCATTAAGGAAAACGGTTGAACAAAGCGGGCACTTCAGCAGTTCGGAAAAACAATGGAATCCTTTAAAAGGTGACACTGGATTTTCACGCTGCTACCTCTCCACCTTCGCCTCCTACTCCGATTTTCATTCGCAGTCCGTTTTGTTTTTCTGGCAAATGTCAAGAGGTTCCTTTTTTGGGTCTTTCCCTGGTATTGCCGGTCGTAAAATTTTTCCGGGACCAATTCTCTTAATTACCTAAGCACAGGTAGATATCACAGGATGCTCTCGAGCAGCTATCTCTCTCTGGTGTGCCATCTCTTTCCAATGCTTGACGTCATAGTTCGTAAGGCACTTAATGTTATGCTAATTTTTCGGCCTTTCAAGTTATATTTTTCTTTCGAAATGAAATCGGTAAACAAAGGAAAGTTTAAAAAAAGAGGGAGGAGGAGGTTGGAAAGCCGGTCCATTTGTTGGCGCTCTTTTGTCAATTTGCGATATTAGCAGACAGACACACAAAAAACATTTGAATGGAAAAGAAGAACGTGCGTAAAGCTTTTTCAGGGGGTAAAGAGGCAAAAAATATATATGTGTCTATCCATACAATCACAATTCTGGCTGGCTTGTAAGCGAACGGAAATTGAAGTGATAAAAATAAAAACGAAGCCATAGTCAGACAAGTCAGATAATTATGTATATATTTCGACTATATGCACAGATATATAGGCAAACATTTATGCACATAAATAAGCATATGTATAGGAACATATATGGCAATTTATGTGGCTTTGAGTCATGGGAGTCGAGCCGCGAGTCTCTGAAAAGCAATTGTGACATTTTTCCGAATGACACAAATCTATGGGAACACAACAAAAATGTATAGTCAACAATAGTGGGAAGACCTAAAAAGCTTCCACAGAATTGATGTTTATTTATGACTTCCTTAATCTCCGAACGTGTTTGTAAAATACCAAATGATTTTTAAAACACATTTATATTTAAATCGGCTTTTAATTGATATGGGGCAATCAAGGAGAGGCATTGTGTTTATAAATAAACCGCATAATTGGAAAGGAATGCAGGGTATATTGGATATATTTCCGTCGATATGGTTGGCTTGATATTTTATTAAAGTTTCAATATTGATTGTCCGCTGTGGCGATAATGGCAAATAATAAATCAATTGAGTGCAGGGGAAATGTTATATTTAACGCTATACTTTTAAATTTTTTAAAACAAAGGTCTTAAAAAGCAAGATAACGTTCTGAATGGATCTATTATAATATTTTAGGTTCCCCTGAACGATATAAACAAATATGCCTTAAAAGGCACAAACAACAATGACTTCTTGCGCATTAAATTTTCCATCAATCAAAATCATGTCAGCCAAAAACAAGTTTAGGAAGGTGAAATCTATTCCTAGTATAAGTCTATAATACAAATACGGAGCAAGATCAGCCAGACTATTTTTAAATCTAATCTGGCGCTAGCGTTATCAGCAATACGGATTACATTATTCTTAGCTATTTTTCTCATTTTGTCGCCGCCCCCAGACATGCTGTTCCGCAAAAAAAAGAAAAAATAATAATAAATAAATCCACGCAGATGTTTATTTATGGCCAGGCAGAGCTTGCTAGTATTAATTATATTCTTTCGACTTCGTTTTGTTTTGGTTTCTTCTGGGTTTCGGGCTAAAAATGCCGCAAACAACATTGGGGAAGTATAAATAAATTATGATTTTGTTAGGCCTAGGATAGGAATGTTCGCTGCTGATTTATGGGTCGTGTTGGGAAGTATCAGGTATTTAAAGAATCGGATACCACAACAATGATCAACAAATATTTCCCATAACAAGTTAGTAGTTTTCCCGATTTTATATCGGTTTTCAAGAAAAAGTTGTGTACGTCCTAGAAATGGATTCTTAAACTTTTAAACAAATTGTTGATAAAATTTGCATTATTTAAATTAAAATTATTTTTGTGAGATTACTCATAAAAATCGTTAAACAAACTGCAAATTAATTGTTTCGACTAAAATATATTTTTAAAAGTTCTTATCTGAACAATTCATTCTTAATTTGGATAACTGGGATTATTGTTGGGAATTAACTTGCGAGGGACACAAATAAACAGGAAACATGATAACTGTTCTAATTGTATAAGAACCTATAAAATAATATATTTCGGGATAGAAGATTTTCCAAGGCTTTTGAGATCTGAATTTGAATGCAGGAAGCCAGTGTAAAAATCTTTTGGTCGCTGTGAGCTATTAGTAATTAAGGCTGTTAGTTCATTTTGATCAAAAAACTCCCCATTTTCCCTAGAAATATCACATCCCAAATTTTTCTGGATGACTCACCTTGAAGGGCAACCACTCGGCAGCCGTCCTGTTTGAGGCGACGGTGCAGGATGCTGATGATGGAGTCCATGGCGACGGCGAAGGAACCGGCTCCTGCCACCTCCTGATTCTGACTGGCCACGCCCTCGCCGTTGTACAAGATGAACCAGCAGAGCTTGTAGCCCGTCTGGATGCGCTCCTTTAGCTCGGGCGATTTGATCGTGGAGGCCAGGTCGATTTTTCCGAGTGCCAGGCGCCGCAGGACGATGCTGGGGATGCAGAGGTTCACGGCCCCGCGGATGTGCGATTCACTGTACTCGTGGGAGCCCCGACAGTCCAGAAGAATCAGCTCCTTGGAGTCCAGGGATCTCAGCTGCGACTGCAGCCACTCCTTGTTGCAACTCTCCTGCTCCGTTTCTGGCATTTTGAAGAATTCTCAAAATCACTCGAAGACTGCAAGATTTCGAAGTACAACTTTTCCCGTTTTCCTCTTTTCTCTGCTTTATTCGTTACTGTTTGTTGTTTTTTTTTGGTTACAACAAAGTTTACATCATCTCTCTTCTTCTGCTTTGCGCTGCTTCTCTTCTTCTTTCCTGGCCGTAGGTTGGTATTGGTATTTGTTTGCTGCTGCACACACACACACTCGCAGGCTAAAATCTTCGGAATCAAATTGAATTTTCTTGTTTTTCCTGGTTTTGTGAAAACTGTAACTTGCACTGTTTTGGTTTTTTGGCTTTCCGATTTTCTCGCTTGCCGTTTTCTGTTTCTTTGCACTCCGAAATTCGTTTCTTTTTGCTTTTTGTTGTATGTACACACGCACACAGAGAGCGCGCCAAATCACAACCGTGTGTATGTTTCGCGTGTGTGTGAGTGGTTTTGTATTTTAGTAGGTGTGCTTCACTAAAACAACAACAACCGTTCCGAATCGAATGAAACCTGTCGCCGAGTTATTAAAACATTCGAAAATGGTTGAATATTTTCCCAAACAAATAGCTTTTCATTGGGTCACTCTGCCTATCAAATATCCATACTTTGTGTTGATGTTTTTCTGAATGGTAAGCGAAGTAAGCGAACACACATGCAGCGCGGGCGAATTTTTTTTGGAAATAACAAAAAACGTAAGAGTCAGTTATACGTAGTGTCAGTTATACGTAAGTATCAGTTATACGTAACACGGCTCTCCGTCATTCACTCAGAGAGGAGAGCGATGTTTCTCCACTCTACAAAAACGCGCTTCGCGGGCTGCTTTTATAGCCTCGGTGCTCTCCAAACACACTTGCACTTGCTCTCCCGCGCTCGGCGGCCTCTCCTTCTCTCCAATTCTTCGTCGGAATTCGAAGAGAAGCCAGCGACACCATTATAACTTGTTTTAAAGTAAATTGTAGAAATCATACATAAAAGATAAAATGTATTTGTTTATATCTTTTTAAAAATATAGAGAGATGGGTAGTATAATTCCGAAACAAGTACACATACACACTCAAAGGTAGAACGCACCCGCACACACAGGTACACGAATGAAACGCAGAGAGGAGAGCACAAAGGCCTCTCCAACTCTCCAAAAAGGTGAGCGAGAGACAGTGCACAGGAGACCCACTGGAAAATTGGCTCGATTCAAAAGAGCGTGTGAAGAAAAAGCAATAGGCGACATTAGGGAAATTATAAAATAAATTTTATTTTAATTAATTTAATTTAATAATACAAATGTTTATAAACGAAATTACAAGTATTTACACTTGTAGCTTTTATCTTTAATTTTATTTTTAACATTTATTTAACATTTTGTGCATTCGGTATGTTTTTTATTTCTACGTAAACATTTGTCTGCTTTTTGGCACTCGTATTTAATACTTTTACGTTACATCTTTTAACTTTTTAGTTGTATAATTTCATTAAAGCTGCACGGTTTTATATGTAAACATGTTCACCAGTAACTTATCGTTGAACTATAATACAATTCACCTCAATGTCTTACATTTTTGCGCAACTAACTAGCCTCTTACGCTAATTTCACTTTTAAAATGAAAAAATAAAATGAATTTTATGAATAAAAAAGTTTGATTAAGTACCAAGTTACTATTCTATTTTTGTAAAATGAAATTATTACAATAATAATTTATTAAATTAAAAATTTTTATCAATTTATTACTATTTTATCATTGATATTGCACTTTCATTCTATAAATAAGTTATTTACAACTGGGACTGCTCAAAAATTTCACACCTGCCTTTTGCCAACTTTCAACCTTACTCTGTCTCTCTTTCTCTCTTTGCCATTTTGACTATCTCTCCACGCTGCATACGCTCACAAAGTTTTGTGTAAAGTTCATTGATATTTTTGTGCAGTGGTGTGCGTGTGTTCGTGTTGATTCATTGAAATCGCCAGCCAAACCAGCTTGCTCTCACTCTCTCACTTCCCCACCCACCCCACTCCCACTTCCTCCCGCTTGCTGGCTCCTACTTTATGATTACTCTCTTCTTCGCGAGAGCGCAGCTTATATTTCAGTCCACTTGAATGCAAAAGTTAATGGACCACTAATTTATAAAGATAAGAATTTATGGAAGACAGAAGAATCAGAATCATCAATGAAGTTGCTGTCTTCTTTGCAACGAAAGCTCCTGCGAAATTCTCCCCTAAGCTTCCGTTATTTTGGAGACTCCGCGAAATGTTTAATTTTATAACCATGACCCTGATATTTACACCCAAAAAGAAGGCCCTCACACAAGGATACATGTATATGCATACACATACAGAAATCGCATGGAAGGACAATTTCAAGGATATGCGGCGCGTGCAAAAATTTCTCCACAAACAACAAAACTCTCTGCTGCGCCTGCGTTGCAACAGCTTTGTACATACACAACCCTACATCCGATATACCGTTAGGTAAAGCCCAGCACAACGTGCTCTTATATACGAACCAACGACTTTCGAGCAAAGTTTTCATGAATGAAAGTCCCACACAGCAGCGAAAACCGTTGGAGAAATAAAGAAAGAAAGCCAGACAGGGACGGAGACAGGCAGCGAAGGAAAGAAATGGCAATACGAAATCTATGCTTAACCCACGCACTTTCCGCTGCTCACTTTCGGCTTCCAGCAAGGTTGCGACTTGGGAGGCGAGGGGCGTAATTCCCCAGGACTTTACTTCGCTTTTGGCCCTGGCGCGTGGGAGGCCAACAGCTCGTCTGTTGCGGGTATGAAGAAGCAGAAGGAGAGTCCACTGAAAACATCCGGATACTAGTTCCCCAAGTTTACTTTTCATCCTGAAACGTGAAAGCCTGAAATGTACTCCACGCATTTTATAGAATTTTAAATTGCACTGTGTTACAAAATTAATGCTTTTTAAATTTACCTCGATGTCTGCGATAAATTTGAATTCGTAAAGAATTCCCAAGTTAAACTGCGTTTTCCAAAAAGTTCCCCGACGCAAGGATTCTTAGCAGAAGGACCTAAAAGTTCGAAAAAAGCTCAAATCGGCCAACATTCCGGGGGTATAACAGACAAGCGGATTCACGGTTTGTATTGCTGTTAAAGTATTCTACAAGTCACACTCTTTATCTTTCGAAACCTATACTCAGAATAATTTTAGAATTTTTTTAAGGGAGGAAAAATAAAAAAAAAATTGTACATAAATATCGAAATTTTTATTTTTATAGAATTTTTCTCAGTGCCGCCTTCAAGTATGTAGGAATTTCAAGTAAGCACCTGGACAGCTTACTTCAAAAGGCTGCTCGATTGCACGCCCCTGCGTGTCTTGGGGGCTGGCCTTGGCATAGCCGTAAATTCTGTCAGTGTAAAATCCAAGGTCAGTCCTTGGGGCTCCATTTTTCGATGGCACAAGTTCAAAGTCTAATTCCAGCCAAAAGGGAATACCCAACCCATTTCTTGAGCTCAATGAATCACCCGAACCATTATCTGTATTAAAGCAGTGAACTTGAATCGAGACTGAAGAATTCAATTAAATTTCTTGCACCTCACGAGTGGCATTTCAAATAGAGCAGGTGACGGCATTTGCCTCGATTATCAGACCATTCGCCTAATCAATATAAAGATGATGACGCCCGCAAGAGTGTTTAGGTATAGAATACACACTCTGTCATGGCCATTTCCGATTTGGATGATTCGTATCAGCGGGAAAAATTCTGGGAAAACGGGAAAAGAAGTGGATCATCGTGATTTGCAGGGTAGATTCTTCTTAATGTATTGCGTATACGAGCTTTATTCATGATATTGATATGTGCATTACAAGTGTTTTTCCACTTGTGACATGTAATTTATTGAGGAAATTATATATCTTTTTAATGATATCAGCAATGACAGAATTTACCAGCGAGTAATTCTTAAGCTTTATTATTTTTCCTAGTAAGTTATTCATACTTACTGTGAAGACTTTACTCATGGATAAGTTTAAAATGTAAAAACTCGAATTAGATAAAAACAAGAAAGGAAGTTAATATACATAATCTGCATGACTGGAATCAAACAGGCTTTGAAATGATTCCATTCGAATAGAATAGAGTTGAGTAAATGCTCAGCACACTATGACTAGAATGGATTGCATCTTGGTCCGTATAGTCATCCTGGAGTTTGTTAGATAAATTCTTAAGAAGTTGCGGTCCAAGGAAGACCATTCCATTCTGCCTCTTCACTACACTATTTTGTACTTCTCCTCCTTGGTCCGCGAATTCTGAGGATTTGCGGTAGAAGGAAGACCATTCCTTTCTGCCTCTTCACTACACTATTTTATACTTCTCCTCCTTGGTCCGCGAATTCTTAGGATTTAAATATAAAAATGGCATGGTTGGATTCAGTGGCGAGCAAAAACTAAAGATAGATTTGTAATTTAAAAAAAAAGACATAAAGCCATTTATTTATGTATGTATTTCAAAACAAATTTAATTTTCCATTTTGCCCTTATGACGTCATGTAAGAACTCGAATGGATTCGAATAAATTCGTCTGAGTTGTTCGTGTACTCATTTACTCGATTCGTTTTCCATCACCATTTCTGGTTCGACTGAGTTTTACGTCAGTACACTTATTTATTCAAGCCAGTTTCCCTACACATTCCAACTCATTCAACTCATTTCGAACATTGTCAATTCGAATATGTATTTTTTGTTATTCATGCAGATGTCTAATACACATATATACCCTTGCCGTTAAAATAACTAACTGTTTTCTGTGCCACATTAATAAAATGCTTGACGATAATATCTTATTGAAATTCGCGAGTTCATATTTTGTAAATTATAATAAATTTATATTAGCGATATCAATTAAACATATTATTTACACTATACACTACATATATAGTGTACATATTATGTGAACCAGTTGTAAGAGCCCAACAGAATTCTCCCACACTACTTCTGCATTCTGCTTTACTGACCTAAAACAACTGAAATGGGATTAAGAGTTGGCGCGTCCGCTTATCTCCCATTCATATTTCCGTTCCGCCTGATCAGACATACTTGTCGTACACTCACACAGTTATTCGCACTCGTGTTTGGGTATAAAGCCAGCCCACATCCCATGTCCAGCCCCCAGAGTTCCGTTCGGCGAGATCTCTGTGAATCACTCGCCATATGAGCAACGGATGTTGGTGGGCGCCACGGGTCTCGACAACCGACGATCGACGTGCGTTTGACGTTTGACCAGACCAAAAAGGCTGATATATCTCAAAGATTCCCTAAATACATTCTCCTCCGTCTTCCCTCTCTTATTTTTTGAGGCACTCCAATGACGTTGTTCCAGACAAGTGCTGTTCAAAATTAGTAGCCAAAGACTATTATATATTTTTTATTTAATTCAGTGTTTTTTAAACAGTTTTAGAGTTCGCAATTTATAAATTCAACTATATTCTTTTATCAAGTAACAATCTAAAATTAATCAAATTAAATTTAAATAACGTTTTTTCTTAATAATTAGTTATTTTATTATTTATCAAATGAGACTTGATAAATATTAAAAAATTGATTAAAGTTGTCCCTTTTTGCCCACAAAAAAAGCATAAAAATGAATTAAAGAATTTAATAATAACGGAATAAATTTGTATTACTCCTTAAGGTCAAAGTTTCTGCAGAAAGAAGCCGCAAATTCGCTAAAAAATCAGAACTTTTCCAGACGCTGAAAGAAAAATGAAAGACGAGGAGGGGCAACAGATGTGAAACAATCATTTGGCTTTGGGCGCCCACGCGAGCAAAAGTTGCGATTGATACGAAACAAACTGCGACCTGACCAACTGAATGACTATTCAGCGAATTGAAATTCGAATGACGTTGGTTGTACTCACGTTGGTATTGGGATTGGGATTGGTTCTGTTTGGGCCCTCTGACTCATTTCACTTTGGCCATTTCACTCAGCTCACGGCTTAAACAGCAGCCTGTGCCACGTGTTCCTTTTGAAGGGAAAATAAAATAAAACAAAATACAGGGCGAAAGAGAAAAGGGATATGGAGCAGCACCTACGCCAGAATCAAAATCCTTTTGACGTCACTCGGCGGCAGCTCAATGAATTTTCTGCATTTGATTTTATGGTGAAATTATTCCGGAATTAAAATTCTCTGAAATTTCAAAGATCACTTTTTTACCAATAGAAATTACTTTTGCAGATTATTTTTAAAATGTTTGATTTATTATACTAAATTATTAGGTGTGAGTGAGTAAAAGCGATTGAAAATTGTATATGAGAGATAAATATTTGGAATAGAATTTTAAAAAAAAGTTAGACGACAATATATGCAAATATAATCTGCCAATTTATCTGCCGTTTAAAGACCATCGTCATATTCTTAAACAGCCCTCGTTTTGGCCTTTTTTTGGGTGTTGACTTTACGAGATTGTATTTTTAAACTAGAGCATTCGAGCGCAGAAATTCCTGCCAGCTCTTCGCTTCTTTTGCGCCATCATCATCGTCATCGCCCATCCATCCCTCTTCAATTGAATCGGCGGAGGGGCTAACGAAGGTTAATGCGGCGCAGTGTTTGACCTCCAGGGTCAAGCTGAAGGCAAATTAATTGCGAGAATTGGGTGAGACAGCTAGAGAAAGCGCGGAGCTGCTGTAATTGATACAAAAACAAAAATGAAAAGCCAAATTGCAGCCAATTGATTCAATCAAATGCCGAGTTAAGGGGCCGATGCTCTCAAAGTTGGCACTTCCGTTGAATTATTGGGGGTGGGGATAACCCCTGATCAAATCGCTCTCCCCACCCGTTCACATTTACTCTGAATTTTTCTGTCATTTTCAAATATAGAGACTCCCAAGAAGTCTTGCTTTTAATGAAAATTATCCGTCGTGTATCCACGGAAAAAAGTATAGAAAATGTGGTATTAAAAAAAAGGAATAAAAAGTTTGCTCTGAAATAAAGTCCTGGATCCGCCATTGTGCACTTCCTATATAAATTATATTATACGTGAATGAATATGAATAAGAAAAATTTAGGAAGTATATTTATTAAATGGATCGTATTATACATTTTCGTCACAAAAGATGATATCAGAATTTTTGTATGTTGATCATCATTATTTTTTTATTTCGTTAAGAGGACTTTTTATTTGATAAATAATTTAAGAAAATTTGGAATTTATTAATGGGTGACTGAAGCTGATCCCCCAAATAAAGAATATAACAAAATCGATTAAGCTAAAACTTTTAGCTTAAAAGGGTAGCATATACATACGTACCAACTAACTTCATAAAACAAGATTTTAAGTCAGAACCTATTGATAAAGTTAACATAATACTACGGATTTTACGTGACAACGTGGAACTGGGCATTCTGAGTACGCCATTCAGGGTGTCGCGGCCCACGCAATCTCTTGGCCAAAAGAAGGTAATAAAAGAAGAGTGTCGCTTCATGTACAGGGACACCCACAAATGTCTATATACAGTTATATTTTTGATATCGCTCGGCGGCGGAAATATTGCACGCCAACGCCCGAGCAGCGCAGTCGGCGCTTTTCCAGACCACCAAGCCGCCATTCATTTCCACCAGCTGCAAAAGGCGAAAAAAGACAGCGGCAGATACAAGCTCGCAGATACAGATACAAAGTCACAGCCGCAAACTCACAGATACACACTGCGGCAGCATTTTACGCATTCCAATCAGCCATGTGGGCGTCCGATTCCCCACTGCAAAAAGTCCGACAGCGAAAAAAAATCCATATATACCTACATATATAAAGTAAAATCTTATGAATGAAAAGCTTCTGAGAAGCGTGGGCGGAGCGCTTTTTGCGGGCTGAAAGCTCCGTAGCCACCTCTTCTCACAAAGTCTCAATAGCAATCGCATTATGCCAAGCGTCCAAGCTTCGGATACACACGGAATATTGATTGGACTTGGACGCAAAGTCTCCAAATGTGAAGTAACCTTGAAATGTGGGTGGCTGGTGGCTGTGAGGTTGAGGGCTCGGCGGAGTGTGAGATGTGTGGATTGCGGATGGTAAAGAACTTGTGTGTGGGCTGAGCTTATAAAGTGCTGTTTAATTAATAAACTGCTCTTTGAAAAATTGGTTTCAGAAGGGGGAAATATGAATCGTATTTTATTAAGGTTTTTTCCTAAAAATAAGATCAATAAAGTCGGGATCCTTGATCATCAGATGGCCCTCACTCTGCTAGCCGATTTTTAATAAAAATCAAGAGAGAACGATATAGATTTGGAGTATAAATCACCCCCACTCGAGTCAAAGTACAAGGAAATGTGATATTTAAAAAGTATGCAGCAACAAATTTGTTCTGAAATCCCCCCACAACTAATTCTTGAATATGCCACTGCCAAGTACAAATGTTTTAGAAATATCTTATTGATTCCAACTGTGTAATTTCTTCAATATCCACAGACTCTGTTACATATTTATAGATGTAAATATATTTGTCTTTAAAAATTAAAAAAAAATTAGATTTCTTAAGTCTAAAATTTTTGTTTCACGTTTCGATGGCTGTAAACCAGCGGTCGGCAGCGTCCTATAAAGTGAGCATAGGGTTTTGTTCTGCCCAGCCGCTGCTCGCTCACGTATACAGTAGAACAGCGGTCTGGACACACACTCTGATGATACAAATATTAAACAAAATGTTATTGTATGTGTGTGCCGACCGCTGCTGTAAGCCGAATATAAATACAAAATTCAAATATAAATGCAAAAGAAAAGCTGTAATGTTAGCTAAAATAAATAATATTTTAAATTTGCCGGGCTTACCCCAAGCATCGATACTTTCATGAAAATATCGATAATTTAGCTCCATTTAGGACCATATATTAAGGTAACCATTTTTTAAAGAACTTTAGCCATCGCTGGCCTTGCGCCACCTGGGCACACTCTCCAACAGCTGTTTTCTTTTTGGTGGTCAAAGACCCCTAAGAAAATTAAACACAAAAGAAATTAAGTCTGCTTACTGTGCAAGTAAACGAGAAGCGTGCTCAGAACCGAGGCATAAAATCCAAGGAATCCCGGGGGAAATGGAATCGGATACGCTGGATAAGGAGAGCGCAGCGGCGGCCCTAAAAAAGCTATCGCAAAGTGAAAGTCCCGAAAGTGCGAAGAAATGGGTGCCGAAGGTGGGCGAGGAGGAGGGGGAGGGGGAAGAGGCGCCGCCAACAAAGAGACAAAAGACTGCAGACGAAAAGGAGGAGAATCGGGAGAATCAGGAGGAAGACGAGGATAGCGAGGACAGCGAAGATTTGGATGATGAAGTGGACGATGATGATGACGACGAGGAGATTCCCCTTCTGATTCCCGCCCGGGGAATTCCCCAGAGTAGCAGCCAAAACAGTCTGAGGAAATTCCAACGCATCCCCGTCTTCATTGTCGACTATCACAACGATGTTCTGGAGTTCATCTACCGCTGCTTGGCCACCCGTCATCTTCCCCTGGCGAACAACACCCTCGTCCACTTCGATTCCCATCCGGATCTCGTCATTCCCCGACATATAGCCGCCAGTTCCACGTACGAAAAGGAAACCATGCTCAACGAACTGAGCATCGAGAACTGGATCATGCCCACCCTATATGCTGGTAAGTAATCCTCCTGGGAATAACCGATTCCTTATCTTAAGTATCCATAAATTTATATTAAAAGTTTACCACAAACCGAATAATAATAGCTATAATTTCACAAAGCAATACACGACAATCTTACCGCAGTTTTGATTTAAAATTTATAAAAATTAAATTATATAAATGTACTAATTGAGACATGCAAAAAAACAATCATTCTTATATGTAAAATTTTTAAATTAATTTTGAAAAATCTTGTATTTGACTCTTAACAATTTTAAAATATCAGAATAAAATGACCGTCTAACTTCTATAGCTCGAATTTACTTATTTCTAATTTTGTCTAAAATTGTTTAGAAATTTGTTTAAAGAAACAAAACCAAATATGGGGACTTCCACCAAAAACTCCACCAAGCCAAAAACCTTTAAACTTAAATAAAACATATTTCCACATGATTTTGCCGCCATATTAGCATAGCATATTGAGCATAGTTTGATTATTTATATGACAAGCCCCAATAATATACGCAAAAGTTAGTTTTTGCCTATTTTTTTCAGTAAAACCAAAACCATTTCATTGCGACATGTTTGAACAACATTCTAAAAAAAATCACATTGAAATATTACTTCCCCGAAATCCACTTCAATTTTTGTCCCGAGCGAATACGGCAGCTTTTTAACGATATCTTAAAAAATAAAAGTGGGACAAAATCAAGATTTTTACACAAAATAGAGCGTGGAAAGAATGATCCCATAATTAAACAAAAATAGTTTTTTTTTTTAATTTTTTTTTAACTTGAAAGGTGTGCAAATGTCTCGAGCTACAATATGGAAATGCCCATATATAAACATTAATATTAACCAATGCATTGGTTGTTCTACTCCAAGGTTTTCGAACTTTTAGATTGATAAAAGATTAAAAGTCGAAATTAACCAAATTTCCAATGCTTGACGACAATAATTTGATTAAAAGGAATTTCAAATTCTGATGAAACATTTTTAAAAGAAATCATTTTAAAACCTCAACTAATAAAAGTATTTCACTTTCGTTTAGGTCATTTTAACCGAGTGGTGTGGCTGAAGAACTCGTGGTGCCAGCAGCTGCCAACCGGCAGGCATGACTTCAAAGTGGGACAAAAGGACGATCGGATAGGAGTGGACTGTCCACTGGACTACTTTATAGCCGATGGCAACTACTGTACTACCGAGGATCTCCAGGAAGCGAAGAGCGTGGAGCTGCAGGTTCACGATGCAGACAACGAAAATCTCAATCCCAATGACTTCTTGGCGGAAAGTGATTCCAAGGGATTCGTTCTAGATATAGACCTTGATTTCTTCAGCACCTCCAACCCGTTTTTAGAGATCTACAAGGATGCCGATTGCTACAATCAACTGAAGGAGATCTTCCATTTCGAGAGCGTGGAAAAGGTGAAAAAGTCGGGAACTGCTTCTATAGCTGATTACTTGGCCACAGCGGACAGGCGACAGACTCAGTTGGATGCACTGAAGACGATTTTCTGGCACTTGGAGGAGGAGCGCAATTTTGAGGGACTTGAGAAACCGGATGAGACTGTGGTTACTCCCGAGGTGTATGCTAAAATTGTAAAACTTGCCGAACAGCTGCAAGAAAAGTATCCAGACGATGAAATCGACTGGCATTTGATATTCGATTCGGGCAGCACCACCGACAATAATGGCTTGCCCCACCACATCAGCACTGCCGAGGAGTTGGAGACGTACTTTGCCAACTTCAAGAGATTCTTAGAACGACTACCGATTCCCCCAGTGGCAATCACAATGGCCCATTCCGCACAAGATGATTATTGCCCCCAGGATCAGGTGGCATTTATCGAGGAACGCGTTCTGCGGCTGCTACGGGATGTTTTTGGCGATAAACTGCATGAGAAAGCCATCCTGCACTATATGGACGATCCTTGGGATGTGATGAAGCTATAAGCTAACAAATATCTAAAGAGGTTTTCCACCCGCCATCTCGAAATAGTTTTAGACATTACGATTGGGCGGGAAAACCCCATGACTTGGAGATCCCTGTAGTGATTTCAAACTAGAACTCAAAGATGAAAAATCCAATTACATTTATAACAATATTTTGTACTTTTAAATATACGCAACGTATTTATTACAGACCCTTAAAAAATGTGTGTGGTTTCGGGAATGTTTTCATAAAAATTTGCCAGGGAAAAACAATTTACAATAATTTTATGCAAGTATTTATTTATGTCTAAAAGTAAATACTATGTTTTTGTTACAAATTCACAGGTATGCAAGGAAAACCAATGCTCGAAATCTCATTTATTAATTTGATAACGTGTAAACACCTGGCATTTCTGGATGTGGTTGGGGGGCCACCTCATTGAGGGCAGTCAACTTTTAATTGTCGACCCCAATTCGTGGCCAAAATCAATAAGCCAATGGCCCCGGGCGAAACTTTCAGTAACATTTGGTGGTTCAGTCGATGTGGAAGGTTTAAATATAAAATTGAGAGACATAGTGAGTTTACTTAAGCTACTTAAACACTTTCTGCTTTGATCTATAGGTAATACAAATTAAATTTTTGAATATCATAAAATAACAGGGTAGGAATTTCTTGAAGATATTTTGATTGGGATCACAGCTCCTCCTTATCGCCTTTAGGTTTTTCCTTCTTCGCTTTTGGTGGAGCAAGTTGCTCCTTGAGACACTCCCTTTCGGCCTTTTTCTTGAGGACATTATCTTCGCAGAGGTGTTTCTTCAGGGACTTCTCATCCTGGTGCTTAAAGTACCAGTCGCTGATGGTCTCCTCGTACTCCTCCAATAGATTTTCGCACTGTGTCTTCATTTGGGTGACCTCTACTGGGGGCTTATCCCACAGCTCGTAGGGTATTCCCAAATCCACTTTGACGCCCTTATCCACAAGACCATGGAGGGTTTGGAAGGTCTGCGACATTCCCTTGGCGAATCTCGTGCTGTCGCTGCGTTCCTTATGGAGATTGTACTCCAGAACGCGCTCGCAAACGTTCTCCAGAGATTCCAGCAGTCGCAGTTCGCTACGCCGGTACTCGGTGCGCTTCTTGGGCTTCACATCGTCCACGGAGTATCCGATTTCGATAACGTCGTGGGATTTCCCAGTTTCTCCAAGACGCGCCTCCAGTTCGGCGGCCAGGATTTTGCAGGCTTCACAACGGTTCGCATAGCGAACTCCCTGTTCCTCTTCGGGGGAATCCCCTCTGGTCAACTGGAGGAGGACAGCGAGTCCCAGGAAAACAGGAAACCCTTTGGGGCGCATTTTCGCAACTTGATAACTTCAAAAACAATAATAAATCTGACGTGGAAATGCCGGTCGCGATAAGACCAGTGTTTTAAAACTCCCACCAGTAAACAGTTCTGCCAAGTTGGCTTTTTTTCCGCCAATTCGATTGGGATTTTTAAAACGGCATTAGTCAGACATATAAAATAATTATTGCTTTTACCTTATTGATGGTTTTATTTTTCGTCAAAAAATTCGGAATATAAAAGTCTTAACAATTTAGGGCTAGTACTCAACCCTACAAAAAGTCGTCCAAAACAGAAAATTTTATATAAAAAAAAAAACGTCAAGAAATTTTTTTCATTTGAAGTTTTTTGTTTTTGACGACTTTTTGTTGGGTTGAGTACTAGCCCTTAACAAGAACCAATTTACAAAATTATTAACCAATAAAAATTTAGAAAAGTTACTTACTTGACTATTTAAATACGATCATTTTTAACTTAACCATCAAAGTTACTGAAACATTTTGTTTTTAATCAATACCGTATAAAAATACAGTATAAAAATATATGGTTCCTGTTTAATTTTAAGACATAGATATGTTTTCTTAAATTTCGTTAAACCGATGCCCTAAATGGTTTTCCCAATTAAAATAGTAAGCTCAATAACAGATGTTCTTACGTGGTGAAACACATATTTTCGTAATAAGACTCGACCGAAATCAAAGTAGTTACATTCGTACATATATAGTAACTAAATCCGATAATTAATTTTGATTTAATCCCTGTTTTTCAAAGATAACTATGTTTTTTTTTAATATTAAAATCTCTTTTAAAGAAAGTAAAGTACACCTGTTGCACTATCGTGTGAATATATAAAATGTTTGGCTTAGTTTACAGTTGGCCATCAGTTAAAACTTATTAAGAGTCGCTGTTTTCAAATTCAGCCTGAAATATTGCTGGTATTTCGTTTACCATATCACTCGCTAGCAGGCTACGTCCGAACTTCTGAAAAGCAGCTGAGTTTAGCCTCTTGACAAAATAACTGGAGGCACAAGCAGCTATAAACGCAGGATTTTCTTGATTTGACTGTAGCGACCAATAGAAGAAGGTGGCCAAGGATCCGGAGAGCAAGTCGCCCTGACCACCGCACCTACGACCAGAGCCTCCGGTTGGCAAGGTGTGAACTTCGTTGATTTGGGGAAAATGAATTTTATCGTTAGCGCCTTTTTCCAGAACGACTACTCCATCTCCAAGCAGAGACATTTTTTTACGCGCCTCATTGATATCCTCTCCAAATAGTCTCCGGAATTCCATGACATTGGGTGTCAGGATGACATTGCGTTGTCCGCAGATCAAATCAAGGTTATCATTAAGAAGAAACAGTCCGTCGGCGTCAATAACAACTGGTTTTTGAACATCCATACAAATCTTCAGTAAGTTAGATGCGGTTTTTAAGATACCTGGTTCTCGACCCAGTCCAGGGCCAATAACCTTAAAGGGTTCTAAATTTAGAATTTACGAAAAATGTTTGTATTTACTATAAGTACTTACAATCACATGAAGTCGATCCAACCAGGGCGTTATTTTTTCCACTGTATCTACGCAATCCAGAACTGGGTGTACGATAAGATCAGGACTATAAGACTTGATAATTGCGGATGCATTGGAATGACAAAACACATGCGCCAAATCAGCTCCAACTCTTATTGATGAAATGGCCGCAAAGTAGGGGGCACCGGTGTATTCCAAGGACCCACCGATTACGCCGATGCGTCCATACTGCCCTTTGTGTTTGTTGTTGGTCAGTTTTGGCACAACTGTTTCTTTAAACAATCCCAACAGCTTTGGCAAATTAACAGATATTTCCGTAATCGCTGACATCTTTTCAGAAGTAGTTATCTTTGTTGTTTGTTATTTGTTATTATCAAGACTAGTGATGAGCCATTTTCTCAAATACGCTATCGTTGACGTTACAATTTTTGCGTTGCGGAAAATATATGTTTCACACGGGAAATGCAAACAGTAATCACATGTATTGGTTTTTAATTCTATTTAAAAAAAAACCGTAAAAATAGGATTTAAATAAAAACATATGGGCACTTCCAATATTGTCGCTCAGGACATTTGCACACCTTTAAAGTAGAAAAAAAATTGGAAAAAAATTGATTTTATTTTTAATAATGGGCTTTTCTTTTCACTCTTCCCAAGCTCTATTTTGTGTAAAAATCTTGATTTTGTACCACTTTTAGTTCTTAAGATACCGTTAAAAAACTGCCGTATTTGCTCGGAACAAAAATAGAAGTGATTTTCGGGGAAGTTAATTTAACACTAGAATTTAGCGAATTCTGATGGAATATTTGAATGCGATTTTTTTTAGAATGTTGTCCAAATATGTCGCTGTGAAATGGTTTTGGTTTTACTCAAAAATGGTTTGCCGTTTTTTTTTATGCAGTTTCAACCACACAACCACGCTCGGGACATACTGGCTGTTTTGCTTTTAACTTAATACTTTAACATTTAAATGAAGCATTCAGTACAAAAAAATGTCACGTATTACCATTCCTAAAGGATAAATTCACAACTGAAGACGGGTCCATATTGGTGGGGTTTGTCATAAAAACAAACTACTCCAAATTTGTAGTTAAGCTCAGGATCCAACTAATTAGAAACTAATATCGGGGCAAAATCATGTTGAAATATGTTTTATTCAAGTTTCAAAGTTTTTGGCTTGGTGGACTTTTTGGTGGAAGTGCCCATATGCTTTTAGGTGGGAGACATATCCACCAAAACTTTTAATTTTTTTAAACATTGAAAATGACTTTTACGGGATTTAAATAAATAGTATTAAACTTTTTTTCATCAAAACATTTTTATAAGCTTTGTTTTTTATTACCATTGTTTCTAACTATTTTATTAATAAGTAAAGCAATTTTAGGGGACAACTTAAAGTTTAATCAAAAATAACATTAATTAAATTCAAATGTATTAAGTTACCTTTTGGTTCTAACATTATTTGCTAAAAACAGCTACGTAAATTGGGATGCGCGGTTTTCCAGCACTTAGTAACACGATTTCCTTACGCTATCGACAAGGAATCGACTTTGAAATTCACTTTTAACCGCTGCCCCGGCAACCAGTGGCTCCAAAACAAAGCACCATGCTTTTGCACCCCAAATCCTGAATTCCCGCCCCACAAGTTGGCTCCTTTCCGGCAGTCAAAAAGACTTTCACTTAAAGTTAGCCGAAAAATGTCGCACAAAAGATTCTATGTAAAGTTGGACCTTCAACTTCATGCGGTTGGTGGTGGAATTGGTGGATTTACCTATGACCTCAAGGCTATTTCCCCTTTCAGCTTACCTGTCCAGGAGTTTGGCTTTGCTCGCACGGCTTTTTGGAGGCCACCATCAAAACCTTGGGTTACTACTTTCGAACGGGCGCAATGGAGCCTCGATTTCCTATGCTGTGCCACGATCAATTCACCATGGAGGGATATTTCAAGAGTGTTGGATGCTTGGAGGACATGCACCAGCTACTGAAGGCGGAACAGTTGGAGATAACTGTCTGGCAGAATGGTCGAAGGTTGGCCTACTTCGTGGGAAACCTCTCGGATGTGATGCAGCCAACTATTCCTCGACTGAGCTGCGCCCACAGCGCCAATGTCCAGCTGCTGATGAAGGCGACGCCGGCCTTTCCCGGAATTCTGGCGCCAAAGGTGGAGTTATCCGCCCAATTGACCACGCAGGACCGAAGAAAGGGCTGCAGTTGCTCCAGTTTCAGGGAAGAATCGGTTCCCGTTGCTCCTCCGGTTAATCGCCATGTGGAGAGCCGATGCCTGGGACACTTGGACCAGCCGCGAAAGCAGCAAACCGTGTGCCATGGCAGGAAATCCAATTGTTGCGCAGGTGCAAGTAATGCCGGATGGAGAGGAGCTTCTCCTGAACAACTGCGACAGCAGGAGCGGCGTCTGTCCACCTGCTCGAGCACAACCCAATTGAGTAGTCTCAGCCAGAGCTCCTCGCTGACGCAGTGCAGCCATTTGAGCAGCAGTAGCAATCCTTTGGACGATCATCACAATAGCTGTTATATCTGCCAAGCCTACAGGCGCATGTTTCCAGCTTATTGAATAAATTACGAAAAGAAATATAATATTTAGGGTATTCAATTGCGTTGCATAGGTTTGAAAAGTGTAAGCAGTTCCAACAACTATTTCCATATAAAATAGCCTATGTATACAAATCTGTTGCACTTGTGTAGAAGTATTGGTTTAAAATAGAGGTTTTAAATACTAAAAAGTCGGGTTTGAGGGTATGGTGATGTCAACCCAAAAGCTGATTGACGCTTAAGAATTCGCGTATTAATTTTGTTGGTCTACTTTTGGCGACCAATGTTTTTTTATTTGGTAAATGCCCTTCGTAAACGATGCTAATATATGCATACATAGGCCAAATAATTCGCTGTTTTCTTTTTTTTGGGTATTTAATTAAGGGCTTAGATAAGACAGTAAGGAAGTGACATTCTTGACCAAGAAGTTGGCTATCCAATATGCCGAAGAACTCACGGCTTAAACAAATTTTTGGTGAAACCAAAAAAGAATGACTACAATACAAGTAATTTACTTTAATGTCCGTCCTCAGCCATTTAACGCCAAAGAAGTCGCGGACTTTTCATACAAACTAAAAAGGGTGCCATTTTTATTTTAAAATGTCACAATTTTCGTCTGGGATACTTACAAATTTTACACTTTTGCAACGCAATTCAATACCCTAATTGTTTTATGTGTACGACTTTTATGGGCAGCTTCTTGGCTCAATTTGTGCTTATATTAAAAAATAAAAAATGCTATACCTTAAATGTAATCCTTAAAATCACTCTGCGCAAAGACATGAACAATGAGGGTTAGTAATAGGTTGTAGGGTGCTGCTCGCTGCACTTCCTCCTCTTTCAGTTGGTTCCTCAAATGGATGCAGGATCGGGCAATATAACGAAGGGTGCTAAAAACATGCGGTTCCAGGGGAAGATGCAGGCAGACCAGGGTGGCATACAGCCAGCGCGCCAGCCAGACGTCCTGGAGCAGGTCCACCGAGGGGTCGGGATCCTGCAGCCACTTGCTGAGCCTTTCCAGCAGGTGCTCCAAATCGCTTTGCGACAAATGGAGGAGAGTGCTCAAGAGGGGCTGTTGATTGCGGCAGAACTCCCGCCACTTCTCCTGGTCCGAGGTTAAGGGCGGTTCCGCGGACTGATCGTAGTTGTGGCTGGCCAGTTCCCGGCGAAGGATTAAAACCTGGGAGCGGGCTGCTTGGAAGGATTTCACCTGTTCTTCCCGCCATTCGGGCGTGGGCAAAAGGCACTTGAAAGGCGGCAGGGCGGGCTGTAATATAGAAAGTTAAATAACAGGGTCTATAGAATATATCCCATACTTACATTATCCAGCATCTCAAAGGTGTTCTTTCCCGCATTATCCTTAATTTTAGGAGATCTTTTGGTCACCACCGCTGGACAGCGCTTCCTCTCGTACAGCATGTGCATTAGGTACTCCTCCCCGGATTCCGGCGGCTTCTTGGGATCGAAGTCGCCATTCGGTTCGCGTATCTCCAGTGCCTGGAGCTGGAAAGTCTGTTCCTCGGGCTCATGCTGCATGTTTCTCGCTTTGTTTATCTTTAAAAATGTTAAAATTCTGGAATAAATAAAGACGAAGCCGCCAAGCTGTATGACCGTTTGTGGGATGGCTCAGAATACCAACTATCGAATGCTGCCGAGCTGTTGGTCCTAGGGTTGTCAACGTTTTGAAGTTAGAGCGCGGTAATTTCAAATTTGAAATGGTTAAAAAAATTTTTGTTTAATTTGAAGGGAGGGTGAAAAATTAAAGTATCTGTTGCAAAAAGAAGTGTGCAACAATAAATTTGTTCTAAAACTATATCTAGTTTCGCCAAAAGAAATCCCTTTCAAATAATAAACCAATGTAGTCAAAAGGCTCTTGCTTTTAAATTGCACACTTCCACTTTGATTTTAAACTTCGATACTTAAAGTATATTCAAAACTCTTTTTTAAAGTTTTAATAATGATGTTCGCAATATGGTTACATATATTGTGGTCAAACAACTTCTCATTATAGGCATAAAATGATGGTACTGTATCAGTGGTCAGTGCTTTAGTGTTCTTTGGATGAAACAAAAGACTACCCTTAAATGATACAAGTCTTAATATATTCATATTTTTCAGTGGTCATAAAATTCGCATGTCTTTTGCAATTATACATAAATACCCAACCGAATTGAGGGCCATGGATATTGTCCCGACAATAATTCAAACGATAAAGAACAGGGACATTTTTGGTAATCACTACTTTATTTAAAAGCGTTTTAAACATTAATTTTATAAAATCACTATGGACGGCAGTCCATGTAGTGACGAAGCGCACCTGGAGAGTGTGCGAAGGCGACTACTATATATACACGAAGAAATGAAAATCTACTGTGATGGTCCGATCATAATGAATGATACACCTATCGAAAGGTATTGCGAAAACTAACAGGATTGCATACCAAGACTTTAAGAAAATCAATTGGCTTGGGAGAGAGAGCAGTGAAAGTGAAAAAGTGCAAATTTCGAAATTTGGAGCTGTTGGGGCCGGTGGGGATAAATGCCCCCTCGCAATATTTTAGTTGTATTCCTTTTGAAAATACCCGTCGAATGAGGGGTCATTTGTCAAAATCCGACTTGTCCAAAATATGTTTTTTAAGTTCTGAAAATTTGATATGACGTTCATCACATCGATATAAAAAACTTTTGTTCTACCACTTTTGAAAAACTAGCTAGTTTAGCGGGAAAACAGCTATAAATAGCTAAAATTCGGAAAGCCGTAACTTCTATACTACTAAAGCTACAGACTTGTGCTGCATCTCGTTTGAAAGGTATTTTTAAATGCTATAAACGCCTTCTATATGCAATTTGTGTGAATGTAATAGTTAAAAAGATATGAACAAAAGAAAATTTGTTTAAACTTTTTTTTAGCTTTTTTTTAATTTTCTCAAAAACGGCTCTAACGATTTTCCTTACAACTTTAAACTGTATAGCCCTTGAGATTCCTTAAATTTTGGTATATATCATGTTTATGTAAAAAATCGCGTTTAAAAGTAATTCAGAAACGAAAATAGCCACTTTTGCCAGCTCAGAACAACTAACGCTCCCTGAGTATTGAATTTTGTGGGAGGGTATCCGAACTGTATTTTAGGGTCATGGAATCAGTAAATTTGCACTTAAGAGTTCCATATAGGAATCTTTTGTTCTACGACTTTTGGAAAAAGCCGCTACTTTAGCGGGAAAAAGCTAAAAATAGCTAAATTTCGTTAATTTGTAAGTTATACACTTCTAAAGGTACAGACATGTGCTATACCCCGTTTAAAAGGTATTTTGAAATACTTCAACGCCTTTTTAACTGAATTCGTTAAAATACAATAGTTTAAAAATTATGATTTATGACCAATTTAAATTTAAATGTTTATATTAGCACCTATGAGAGCAAAAGTAAACAAACAAAAAACTTCTGATATCAAATAAAAACACCTCTAAACGAGGTAAAAAACTAGTGACGATCGCACCTTCAACGTACAAAAGTTCTGATATCAAATTTTGTGACGAAAAATGATTTTAGATGCGACTAAATAAGTACGCTACCTAAAATTTATTCATTCGGCACGCTACAACAGAAAACTTTCGTGTAGATATTAAATATTTGCTAAAGCGGGCCGAACGAGTAAATTTTAGGTAGCGTACTTATTTAGTCGCATCTAAAATCATTTTTCGTCACAAAATTTGATATCAGAACTTTTGTACGTTGAAGGTGCGATCGTCACTAGTTTTTTACCTCGTTTAGAGGTGTTTTTATTTGATACTACTAAAGCTACAGACTTGTGTTATATCTCGTTTGAAAGGTATTTTTAAATGCTATAAACGCTTTCTATATGCAATTTGTGTAAATGTAATAGTTAAAAAAATATGAACAAAAGACGAGTAAATTTTAGGTAGCGTACTTATTTAGTCGCATCTAAAATCATTTTTCGTCACAAAATTTGATATCAGAACTTTTGTACGTTGAAGGTGCGATCGTCACTAGTTTTTTACCTCGTTTAGAGGTGTTTTTATTTGATACTACTAAAGCTACAGACTTGTGTTATATCTCGTTTGAAAGGTATTTTTAAATGCTATAAACGCTTTCTATATGCAATTTGTGTAAATGTAATAGTTAAAAAAATATGAACAAAAGACAATTTTTTAAAACTTTTTTTTTTAGCTTTTTTTTATTTTTCTCAAAAACGGCTCTAACGATTTTCTTTACAACTTTAAAATGTATAGCTTTTGAGATTCCTTAAATTTTGGTATATATCATGTTTATGTAAAAAATCGCGTTTAAAAGTTATTCAGAAACGAAAATAGCCACTTTTGCCAGCTCAGAACAACTAACGCTCCCTGAGTTTTGAATTTTGTGTGAGGGTATCCGAACTGTATTTTAGGGTCATGGAATCAGTAAATTTGCACTTAAGAGTTCCATATAGGAATCTTTTGTTCTACGACTTTTGCAAAAAGCCGCTAATTTAGCGGGAAAAAGCTAAAAATAGCTAAATTTCGTTAGTTTGTAAGTTCTACACTACTAAAGGTACAGACATGTGCTATACCTCGTTTAAAAGGTATTTTGAAATACTTCAACGCCCTTTTAACTGAATTCGTTAAAATACAATAGTTTAAAAATTATGATTTATGACCAATTTAAATTTAAATGTTTATATTAGCACCTATGAGAGCAAAAGTAAACAAACAAAAACTTCTGATATCAAATAAAAACACCTCTTAACGAGGTAAAAATCTAGTGACGATCGCACCTTCAACATACAAAAGTTCTGATATCAACATTTGTGACGAAAAATTATTACACTCGTCATTAAATAGACTTTCTAATATTTTCTCATTCGGCACGCTGCAATAGAAAATGCCTGTGAAGGGAAAAAGGCTGGAATAGTTTGCTAGGGCGAGCCGAATGAGAAAATATTGGAAAGTCTATTTAATGACGAGTGTAATAATTTGTCGTCACAAATGTTGATATCAGAACTTTTGTATGTTGAAGGTGCGATCGTCACTAGATTTTTACCTCGTTAAGAGGTGTTTTTATTTGATCATTAAAGTACTTGACCTATTTTCACCACAATAAAATGATTTTTAAATAATCTATTTCGATAGATTATGAATTTGAGAGACAAAATGTTGTAAGGAAAAGGAGTACTACGCCAAGTTTATGTCTTGAAAAATCTTTCAAAGTTGACGGTTCTTACTAATGTATCAAAAAATAAGGAAATTTAAACGGCAACAAGAATAGCACAATCTGCGTTACAGACATTTGTTTAAATCAAACAGTTGTTTTAGTGCATTGATGTACGTAAAAACTATAATGGATTTGGTTTGGAAGATATTTCTCTGACATACAGGGGATATATACACTTGTACCCGCTATGATTTTTATACCCTTGTAGAGGGTATTATAGTTTCAGTCAGATGTTTGCAACGCAGTAAAGGAGACGTTTCCGACCACATAAAGTATATATATTCTTGATCAGCACCAATAGCCGAGTCTATTTAGCCATGTCCGTCTGTCCGTCTGTCCATCTGTCCGTCTGTCCGTTTCTATGCGAACTAGTCTCTCTGTTTTAAAGCTATCGCGATGAAACTTTCCCAAAAGTCTTCTTTCTATTGCACGTAGTACATATGTCGGAGCGAGTCGGATCGGACCACTATATCTTAAGGCTCCCATAGGAATATTCATAGAAATATAAGAAAATTTATTGTAACTTTGTAGGAAGTAGGCGTTTTGATTCTTGACTACTTAAAAACAAAATTTAAATAAATAGAAACGCTCAATCTGGAATCCCTGAAACTGCACCGAGTGGCCGAAGGTAGCTTCCTTTCTTGTTTCTTATTGTACTACTAATGGAATTTACATGCTTCCCCAGGTATTCCAAACATTTATGAACTATTTATTGTTAATTTTTAGAGGAGCCTTTCACTTTTACTTTTTTTACTTTTTAATTACTTTCTTACTATTAATTTAAACATGGCAGGGATCAACAAAATTTAATAGGTTTTGGTTAATTAGATTTTTTGTGAAAACGGACTTTTAATTTCGCCGAAATATGCTGAAACAAAGCATTCGTAAGCTTCTTAGGACAAATTTCCTTTTATTAACCACTTAGAGCGTACATTTTTTTCCAAACAATTTAAATTTAATCACTTCAACCAGCGTAAAATTTGTTTTTCCCTGAAGTAAAAAGGACATTGTTATACAAGCAGCATGCACGTATATTTTTAATCAACGGCAGGCCAAGACAAAGCGATCTTGGCCATATAACAAAGCCCGATTGTGTGGCGTACTTTCCTGGCAGCCCGTTGTCCTCCTAAGCATCCCAGGACCCCGGCAATAATAGGACTATAAAAAACGCATTTCATAATTGTCTTACGAGAGTGGGCGGACAGTCGGGACCTGAGTCTCGGGCCCGATTTCAGGTTAAGCTTCAGTTTCAGGCTCAGGTGTGTGCGTGTGCGGCCTTTGTGCCGGTTCCTTGTGGCCGTAAAATAGCCCGTAAGGAGCAGGT